AAAAAAAAATAACGAAGATAAATAGAGATGTATTACCGCGTTTATTTTTAGGTGGAAAAGCTTCTTTAAAATGATCTAAAACAAATGTTTGTCTGTACATATTGAGTAGAGAGAGAAATAAAACTGAGAAGCTCGACAAGTTCAGCTGAGTATCTACCGAGTAGGCTTTAGACGGCAGAGGACCAGATGAAGCCGAGTATAACTAAAGCCATCGCTTACATGACCGGGTTTTGCATGCTCAATCTCCAAAATCAAATTTACAGAGTTGTTTGTTAACTAAAAACTGATTTACTCGTTAATTTAAATATAAAAGGGCGGTTTTTTTATACTGTTGTGGGAAGCACGAGTAAAAAAAAGGAAACGAAAAAATTACCAACCAAGATTTAACATTAAAACTTACTAAGATAATTAAAATATAAAAAGTGCTGTTTAAACTTCATGTAAAACCTACTTAAGTCGAACACCTTAACTGGTGATTCAGAGACACTGTTCAAAGTTCTAGTTATATTTTTGAACAGTGAAATAGCAGTTAGATAATTTTTATAGATAGAGACTTCTAGTCGTACAGTATACGTAGTAAATTTTTAAGTTCTCTAATTTTAAGAAAATCAAGACCAAGATCTACCAGTTTTTTCCTATAACTGGTTTAAATCTGAAGAAAATTTTTGATTTTCATCATTAGCTGGTATTAAGTTTTCCTGAGTTTATCAATAAATTTTTTACTAGAGGAACAATAAACTACTGCCCCGCAGTGTATAAGAAACACTACATACATTTTATATAAATGTACCATAAGCTTATTTTTACAGCGCCTAAACAAGAAGTATGATAAATGAATAATACTAAGGCTTCTGAATGCTGCCATATCACAGTATTCTTTTATCGAAAGCTTGTCGTTAAAATAGAACCTGCGATTTTAAAGCCTTTTTTTCCAGAAAAAAAGAATAGAAGTAGATTTGGCCTAAGATAATTACCAAAACATCTTTAAATTCAGTATTTTCTAAAAGAAAGTTCAAACTGTATAGTGTTAGCTCTTTTCTGTTGTGCGAAGCAGTGTCAACATCAGAACACCAGCAGCGGTAACAATACCACCGACAGCCAGCACCACTGAATGCCGCTACCGCATTTTCTGCGCTGCTGATGCTTCTCAGATTTCCATTTACAACAGAAATCTTTTGAGCAGAATCCTCTTTTGCCTCCATTCGGTGACAGTCGTCTGAACAGTAGTCAACACTCCAAACCTGAGCTTTTTTCCAGTCACTGTCACAGAGGAAAAAATAACAAATATCCACTTGGAAATGATATGTGCTAACACATAAACAAAAAGAACCAGATCTTTGTTATCCTAAAGGTCATTAACAGATCCGTACACTCCGACGCTTTTCATTCTAAATAAAATGCTTTTTCGGTTTTTTGTTCATCAAAGTTTCTTGAATTACAAATTTTTTTGCTGGTTATTGCTTTTTTCCACCCCTATCATCGCTCTCTCATCCTTATAGAAAAAAAAAAGGAGAAAATGACGAAAAGCAGGAAATGTCAACTCAAAAAAAAGACCAAATTTTTTTAATTCACGAATAGCAAGCATATTTGTTCGACAATTCACTTCTTGTTTCGGACTCCTCTGGTTACAGATGTAAATGAAACTAGGAGAAAAAAAAAGAAAGAAAAAAAGCAGAAATTTGTTAGCAGTATTTGCAAAAACGATTCCTGGCTAAGCGCGTCGTTCTTAATAACTTTAAAAATGGTTTAAAACAAGAGTAACTTTATTTAATTCAAGTCTCCAAGATAAAAATGAAAAATTAGGTTTTATTCTAGATCTGTTTCTGCTCATTCTTTGTTCTTCTGTTTCTTCTAAACATATAATTCGCAATAATTTACATTAGTTACTTCCCCTTCCCACATCTCTTGTTAAATGAAATTTTTTAGAGTACTTTTTATCTTACAGAAGTAGTCTAAAAAAGCTTCGACGATAATAATAAAATTTTTTTGAGGATAGGTAACATAGAACAGCACAGGTAGAAGAGGGATGGGAAGGAGAGAAGAGGAGAGGAGAGGAGCGGGGGAAAGTACAGCATAACATTTGAAAATCAGAAATAAAAGTGGATTTTTCTTTTGAAGAATGAGGAAAAAAAGATGAAATTTGAGCAAACAAAAGATTGATTAAGAAAAATTTCTTTTTTTTCTCTTAGTCTACTACAATGTTTTTGCAAAAAAAAAATAGTCTAAAAGATATCATTCTGTTCAAAACTAACTGCTAGTTAGCCTACTGTGATAGTTCTTCCAATATGCATTTGGTGTTGCTGCTTGTTGCCGTTGCAGCTGCTGTTGCTAGCGATTGTTGATGGTTGTGTTGGTAGTGGTGCTGCCGCTGCTACTGCCTTTGATGATGATGATGATGATGATGATGATGATGTTGATGATGATGATAATGATGATGGTGATGGCGATGATGACGACGATGGTGGTGGTGGTGTATTAGCGAAATGGGAACCGACATTGAAGAGGTGGCTGAGCAGCTGTTGTTATTGAGAAAGAACGTATCAGCTATACCCAACAGTAGTTACGTGCTGGAGCCCATCCCCTACTTTCTCCCCTCTAGCAGCTTCCTTCGTGTATCAGTTCGTCCATTCCCGCATATCCCCTACTCTAAAATCATCATCGCACCAACATCATCATCCACCACTGCCAACGGCAATGCCAACTTCAGCCACTAAAACGACATAACGCTAAAGGCCACGGATAACTTGAATATCCACAGTCTTCCCGACTCTGCAACAGATCTTACAGTATCCAGGCCAACAAGTGAAATCCAACTATGTTCACCGAGACAGTTCAGAGTTATTCAGTGCCTTGTTCCCATCTGAATTATCTAAAAATTCTGTCGGTTGTACTTGGTTGAACGGATATATTGAAGAAATACTGGTGATAAGTAATAGGCGGACTTTACTGGAACAAAAAGCGGTTAGATTATCAAACATAACCATTTGAGACACCATTTTATCGGCTGTTGGTAATAATAACAAAAATAAAAATTTCATTTTCAAGTTATCTTGAAACAGCAACAGCTCCCGCTGTATCTATCGT